TCCCCTGAGCCAGAAGGCATCCCACCCCGGTTGACAGAGGCTGGTATACATTGTGACATAAAGTTAGTGTATCGTATTTTTAGTGAGTTATTTTATTTTGCCTCATTGTTTATGTACCTTTCATGTTTTATTTATTCTTATCTTTAAGTTTAGAGATTTCGAGACCAGCCACTAGAGCTATCATTGGCTCAGTGGAATTTCACTGCCTCTTATCAACTGAGATAAGATCTCAGTTACATGGGGAGATGAACTCCAGGGTTTAATAAAAATGAACCCTTGCAGTGGAGCTACCACCGTGTTGCCAGGGTTAACCGTTCGTGTTTCTCTAGTCTAGGGGCTCAAATAAAGAAGAAATACTCATCTGATTCTCCCGTCTGGCTGCTAGACCTCTACTGCAGCCTCTTCTACACTGAGCTCCTGTGGTCTAAGGACCCGTGATGTCATCATGTCTTTTACAGACCATTCACCTGTGAACCCAACATAAATAGACCCCCCTTAGTCCATGAAAAAAGAAAGGCTAGTTGCACTCCTTACCGGTATGACCCCGTGATTGGGGAGGGGTACTCGGAATGACTGCGGATGGCGCCGCCAAATACAGATAATTGCAGAAACGTCACCAGCACACCAAATCCTTATAGGATCAAAGTTCGTAGATTTTATTGCAAACTCATGTCAGTTACACAAGCGCTTTCGGGGCCACACAGGGTCCATTCGTCATTGCTTGCCTGATGTTTCTGCCATTACCCCCTTAGTCCATGACCCAGACATTATAAATACCCCTAACTTTCCCAGTGGGTGAAGAGGCAAAAGTTGAGAGCAATCTAAACACATTTATAGTTACATCATTCATTAATTATACCTTAGACTTCATGCATGTGGAGCATGTTTGCAAGTGGTCTTCCATCATTTTAATCATTATTTTCTGACAGATCATCTCTGCAAATGTGACAGAAGTCCAGCAACGAATCATGGATGAGCTACAGAACTTAAACTTTATGAAGGAAAACAATAACGGAACTTTTATCGAGAGAAAACTGAGCTTTGAGAGGAAGAAAACGTTATCTCCCCTGGTAAGATATTCTTTATTTGTGATTACTAGTTGTATATTTGTTGGTGTTAAAACCACTGACCGTGGGATGGAAGTTGGTCCTGCTCTATACTCTGCAGATAGCTATACATTCATTTACCTTATTTATTTAATAATATAATGCATAGACTATTCATTTTCAGGAACCCATTGTAGCAAATTAAAAAGCATCTCTGTGTTTTTGTTTCCAGTCAGACCAATGAAATCTGATTTATAAGTGATTTATAAGTGGTTGTTATAAGTTACTGCATGGCATTACTCCACATATAAAGCCCTGCATCTTACCATGTTCAACTACAGCAATAGTGACATCTTCAGGCTATGTCTAGGTACTACACGGCATACTCAAAGCACCATCACAAACCAACAAAACATCAATAAATCAACATTTTTTATTAAATTATTTTTAGGGTTATTCACATAAGGGTGAAGAGTTTGGAGAAGGCAGAAGAAGTGATCAATCTAGGACAACATAGCTGAATTGGAAAGTGAGCTGCATTGGCGAAATTTTCCAAATCAGCTATGTTGTTCTAGATTGTTCACTTCTCCTGCCTTCTCCAAACTCTTTGCCCTTTTGTGAATAACCCTGTTAATGTTATTGGGTATTAAATACATCTGCTTAAGATTATATCAACTTTAATCAGTTTCAAATAAGAAAACCTATATCTGTATATCATGTAAAGTTACATTTACTGAACACAGTTTGCCTAGGAATAACATGAGCGATAGTAAGATTGCTGCTTGTTGCATATCGTTTAGTCTTGCCAACATGTGCCTGGAAACAAGCTGAATTATTCAACTGTGACTGTGATTTTTTTTTTGTTATTCTTTTTTAAAACAACGGGAGAGTTCAGGTTTGAGTAGAAAAACTCACAGAATACAGAAGAATAAATACAGAGCAGAATAATGCCTATACTGTGTGCATATCAATAAAACTAAATAACAAAATAAAGAATTGTTATTAATTGGTGTTAGGAATCAACAATAATGTGCTGTGAGGGCTGTTGCTTTGTGTTTTGTATAGTAGGAAGCTTGGTTATGTAAGGAGATTTAAGTGATTAAAATCCCCCATAATGGTAGAAGGTAATTTAATAAGTAATACCAACTATCCATGATTGTGTTGTTTGCGCTCAGCTAGTACAAATTAACATCTGAATGATTGATATGAATTTCTGCTTTCTTCACATTTAGAATACATTTAGATTTCATAAAACTATGGATTTGTATCCATCATAATGAAGATTGCTGAAACATTCTGTGGAACTAGAAGTAGTTTTATGGCATGTATTTATCCATAGTCACTACATTGGGCATATTTAAAATATTTAAACAGTATACAATATAATATACAACATATGCAGGTATATTTATAGGGCATTCTTTGTATTAAAAAATAAATGTCTCTCACTTTTTTTTTTCTCAAATAGATTTTTATTGAATTTAACAGTGCAAGTATATATAGACATGTTACATTGCCAACTGATGCCTGCCACAAACGGGTCATCCATACTTAACAAAACACGTATCACATATGAAGTGCAACAGTAGTAGAGGAACACAAGGTTGGTCTATGGGAAGAGGCACCAAAGCGGGACACATCACCAACCGTATACAGTATATATGGCCAAATTCCTGCCGTGGGATAACCTTAGAAGGATCCACCGGACGGGATTCGAAACATAGCGTACGAGAGGATTCCAGACTGCATGGGTTGGGTGGCAAAAAAAAGGTTCAGACCTACATAGCTAGAGAGCAATTATGTAGACCAGCAATTATTTTAGGAAAGTGATACTATTGACAGTAAACAACACAACACGTGGGGAGACATGGGGAAACAGTCTTTCACCTTTTATTAGGATCTCCACCATTGTAGCTCTGCTCAGTATACTCAACTTTCGCTGAAGCTTAACTCAGTATACTCAGCTTTCGCTGTATGACCAGACTTGCATCTAATGTATTTATTTTATGCTGACTCTGATAAAGCTGAACAGCATGTAATATCCTTGATGTCATGACCTTTGGCCAATAGCAAGAATGAGCCAGATGCAGCTCTAATTACATAGGGAAAGGGTTTCTACTATTTAATAAAAATAAAATAGACCTTAAAGACAGAACTCTGTTAAACATCACATCTTAAAGTAAAACTATGGCCATAGTGAATGTAACAATTAATATAATGCATGATGCAGTCTGCCGCTAGCATTAAGGGCCCATGATAAATGCACTGGTGCACCGCAATGCCATTCATTGTGAATCACATCTTCCTGACGCACCTGTGTTGCAGCAAACTGCAGTGCGTGGTTATCCGCTACTGTTCGTGGCAATACAAATGCAGGTCCATTGTTGTGCGTTAAAGAGCAGATTGAAAATAATGAGCTGCCGTAACACAACACACGTTAACATGCAATATAATGGAGCTCTGCTGCAGACCCAGGCACCCGTCCTTTGACTAAATCTAGACTGAATCACCCAGGAGCTACATCTTAAGTCCAATTTGATGTAAACCTTTATGATAGAGGACTGTTTGGCCCCCAAAATGGCTGCCACTATTGCCCTTTTGTTGTTAGAGAAACAAAATAAAGACTGTTTGCCCCTTTTGGTTTATATAGACATGGGGTTCTCAACTCAGGTGATCCCGGCGTCCAGGGACGTCACTGTTTTGAGGAGAGCTGCTGAATACAAGCCATGTGGCTTCAATAAGTACTTCATCTTTCTGATTATCACTTTGTGGAACAATATCCAGCGCCTTGCTTCCACTCCCCCCCACTCCAAGAAAAAAGTATGGGGCTACCATTGCTAACTTCCTTTTAAAGAGTTCTCGTTCCCAGGCTGTTATTCTGACCCTTAGGGTTCTCTCATTTACTGTTCAAAAAAACAAGCATCCAGATAAGTAAGTTGAAAGTAAAATCAGAAGTTTTAATGCCCTTTTTCATGCATGCTTATTCCAAGTCAAGGGTTAGTATGGAAGCCAAGAACCAGCATTTTCAGTAGAAGAGGGCAGCAATTGCTTCTGTTATGGCAGACTTTAGTCCAATCAAACAGCAAAGTGCACAGTTGAAATACATACATAGGACGCATTTTATCTTCCAAAGGTTTTTGTCCAGCCAATTCTTAGATTTGCCAGACAGCAGAGCTGGGTTGGTGACCTGAAATTTCTTAGCAATAAGGCTTGGTCATCTCCCTGCCCGGAGTCTGTGATTGGACAGTAAAGAAGCAGCAAAATACTGATGTACCATCCCTCTGCTCTCTCCTTCTGTCATTATGTTCCTTTTTAAAACCAGTGCATGTAGCACACCTGATTGGCTCCTAGTGTTGCCCCTTCCTTTCCCAGTGTGAGTGCTGCTGTACAGAAGATAACAAGAGGCCAATATGATGACAGATTCGGGGACTTACATTTACAATTACATTTCATTGTTTTTAATTAATACATAATGGCACTAATTGGTGAGTTTTAAGCCTTCCTATATCTGCAGAGCGAGTACAGACTAGGTTGGGTATCTTGTTTAGGAGATCAGATAACTAGCATGTTACTGCACCCTCCCAGGTTCAGAGACTGACACCAAATTGTTATTAGCTCATCTTTGGAGATGCTCCAGTATCAATAAGTCCAGAAAAGTTCCTGCTTAGATTGGAGTTCTTCTACAAACACACAGACAACATATGCCTAATGCTCTATTGCAGGCTTGGAAATCCCAATCCAAGATGTGGCATCTTTTCATGTATTTTGTTCTCTGTATGATCTACACATAGCAAGATGTATGAAATGGTTAATCATGGTAATGGTTTAAATGCTCTAACTTGACAACGACATATTCCATCCCTCATTAGCATTTTTGTAAATGCAACAGTCAATAACTCCTGCCTTTGTTTTCCATTAAGCCCGAACTACCTCGCCAGACTGAGAGCCACAGGTGCAAGCTATTGTCTACCTATGGTGCGGATAAACTTTACCAAGCAAAGCGCAAGTGCAACGCTTCCCAGGACCAGGATATAGATCTGTATGAAGGGGAGCTGGCGGCTATTGTGGAGTACAAGGACCCTTTGGGAAGCACCAGCAGGTGGTTTGTGGACACAGGACGTAAGTAATAAAACACTCAATCAAATATTGACTTTCCTTTGTCTGGATATCACTCCGTTCCACTATCTGAGCACAGTGGTTTACTTCTTACTAAGCAACTAGAGAATGGCTTCCAACTGTAATTATAGAACATTAACCATGCACTGAAAGTTTATTTTTATGGCAGGAGGAGAAGCAGTTGCAATTGTAGTGTAGTGCAAAATAAAGTGTGATTGGAAAGCTAAAGGTGCCCAGAGAAGTTCAATGGCCATCAAACGATTCTGCCAAAGCAGAGGACTGCATGTCTATAGGAACGCACCCCTTGTCCATGGCCTGGTGCCAGGATGAAAGCTTCTTCTATAGACACCTTACTACATACTATATGCACAGCCAATCATTTTTAAAGTTTAACTTTTTAAAAATAATACACACATGGTCGTAAAAGGAAAAAAGGGCATTTCTTATTTTTTGCACTGGAGCCAGGAAAGCATTGCAACTGCGATCAGTGGATCATGGGTGCAATGCTCTGGCTCCAGCAGATTCTTCCTCCCGTCCATGTTCAAATCTCGGTATGAACATTCAGTAACATAGACGGGAGGAAGAAGGAATGGAGTACACGAGCAGTGATGTCACCACACTTGTAGTCCATTGAGAACTTCTTTTGCCACGTTGGCTGATGGGACTCTAATTTACTCCTGTCAAAGGATCTGCGAATGGATGACATGGCTGTGTGGGCTGAGCCATGCAGAGCTACGCCATTTTCAAAAGAGAGGAGCAGCCTGCAGGGGAAGAACCCCACCATTCAAATAAGTTCATGTTACACCCTGAATTATGGGTGTAACATGAAACATGGTCTAAAGGGTAAACTTAGCATTTAGGCCCCCGTTCACACCAGGGCGGTTCGGTCACAAGGATTTGTCCACGCTGAACCGCCAACATGAAGGATCCTTGGGAACCATTCATGCAATTGCACAGCTCCACGCGATCCAAACCGCCTGCTGCCCAAACTGCTCCCTGAGCTATTTTTCCGCACTAATCAGTGCGATTTCCATATAGATTGCAATGGAAATGCGCTTATCAACACGTTTTTGGGCATTTTGTAATAGCGCTTCAGCGCTAAAACGCGACTAACAACACCCACAAATGCCCTTTTAAAAACTAAGTGGAAACCGCGCTGAAACGCTTTCATCCTAGTGTGAATGGGGCCTTAAAGGGTAAGTTGACTTTCCCAAGTGAATTTGGGAAAATGGAATTACCAGTTCCAATTTGCCCCCCATCCTCTAAACTTAACGTTCTGCGAATGCTCCTTCCCCTCCGCCACTATGGGTGTACTGTCCAGACCCTGTACTGCAGTGTAGCGCAACCCTGAGAAGCACTTCTAACTGTGCTGACCAATTTGAAGCGCTTTTTGCTAAGAAGCGCTTGTCATTGGTTAGTGTGGTCAGGTGACCGCGCTGATCAAAGAGTGCTTGCTATATGCGAGTGGAATTCAAAATCCATAGCACAAGGCTGCGCTACACAGCAGTATAGGGTACGGATAGTACACCCCTACTGATAGAGGGGAAGGAGCGTTCACCGAAAGGTAAGTACAGCAGGGGGAGGGTAATTCAGTTTTCCCAAATTCACTTGGGAAAGTGAACTTACCCTTCAAATACTTTTGATAAAGCCAATTCCACGTTTCTTTGATTAGTTAGGCAGGCCTTCACATAAAACATCTGAATGTTTACGTATTTCAAATTATTGTTCCTTTACCATAAAAGAGAGTCCTATTAGGAAAAGGATCTGGAAAGGGATTACATTGAATTTCTACAGCTTGTGTTTATAGACTGTTAAATATATAAATCAGATTTCACAGCAGTATTTAAGTGTATGTTGATTTTAGCTGAACATTGCAAAACGGTCACGTCACTGAATTAATTTAATAGCTGTGCGTTTATGGTTATATGTAACTGTATTGTACTTCTATATTTCCAGTAACACAAGGATACGTATATTCCTCCTTCCTAAAGCCATACAACCCAGGAAGGCAGCAGAAGGATTCATCTGACAGCGCTTTTTGTGGTGAAGACTTTGATGACCTCAGTCTCTTTGTCTCGCCTCGGCCTTCCCGTGACAGAAACAGTCGTGCATCACAGAGCAGCACTGGGGACAGCAGTCCGTCCATGAATGGAGATGAGGACAAACATGAAATTAATGACTATGATGCAGACTTTTGTCAGAATGGAGAGGAATATCATGTAAATATCTTTTTTTTCATTTGAATACTGTTACGTGGACCCAACACACATTCCCACTGTAAAGTCCAAATGAACCTTTCTGATAAAGTGTGATATTGTAAGGAAAAACATTAGAATTGTTAACTTTGTAAACAGTGTTTTTGTTTCTTAATACAACCCTTGTGTTTGTACATGCTTTTATAATATCTTTTTAAATATTTGTAATATATTCCCAAGGCAAAATATCAGCTGGGACCACAAATGGGCTGATCTCTTTGACCACAGGTGTCACACTTACCTTGTTCTCATATAGTAGTGTCCAAGTCTGGTAATGGGAAATAACCACATGAGGACTTAAGGCATACTTCCTAAAAATTCAACAGAATACCTTGGACCTGTTCCTCTTCCCTTTTACTTGGTGCGTGTTCTAAAGTAGCCACCGCTCAAATGACCATACACAATATGTATGCACAGTCAGGGTGGGATTTACTCTCTCTGCTGCCCCAAGGCCAGGTTCCTCAATGCAGTCAGTGCCATATTATCTACCACCATCGTGTGTAATTTACAAAGAGTATACTACAATGAAAATTCAAACCTGACCCTTATGTATGATCCCATTAAACTGGTGGTGGTGGTGGGGGTAATGAAATAAACATGGCCTGGAGCTCAGAGTACAATTAACATACTGCTGCCTTTGTGCCGTTCTTCTAAAAACAAACAATTTTACTTAGGTGTCATTGAGTGCTCAAAGTGCATTACGATAGGCACTTCATTTTGATATACATGGGTAAGAGGTCCCACGTTGGTCACAGTGCCTTTATTTCAATATTAAAATGATCGTTATGAGCGAGCTTCTCCATTTCTTTACCTGTAAACACAATTATCTTTTTATGCATTTCAGATTTTCTATGCTGTTTATGCCTTTGAAGCACGGAGTAAGCAGGAACTGACTTTGGAAGAGCATCAGCGGGTCAGAATCCTTAAGTTCTGTGATATGAGTGGAAACAAAGAGTGGTGGCTTGGAGAGACACATGGCCAGAAAGGTTACGTTCCAGCAAATTATCTAGGAAAGATGACTTATGCATAGCTATATCTCATCTCCCTTAAAGCATCGTGAAGAAATCTATGACAACTGTGACTTTGTATTAGCTGAAACTAGACATCTGTTGTGTCTATGCAATGTGAAGGATATTGTATATATCCAATGTGCAAAGGGATCATACTGCTGAGAAAAGAGCAGGCGTCAAGTGAAGACGACTGGTCCTTCAAAATTCTTTTGTTTTGTCTTATGATTGTAAACATGTATGGCTCAAAGCACTTATATATCTGAACTGTGAGAGTAAAGTACTGCCGATGCCGCCATTACTATGCAGCTAATGTATATGATGAAGTATGCACCCCCTCCCCCAACACAAATATTGAGTATATGCATTGTAATGAGTTAAAACATTGCAGACATTATGCTTGCACAGAGGTAGAAACGCTATTGATTGCAGATTTATTTTGGGACAATTTTTATGGGACAAATGAAGGTTCGAAATGGTGGTTTTGAGGGAGAGTCTATGTATAAATGAGTATAGAGACTGGTTATTTTTAAATATTTTTATGCTATAAAATGATTGGATTATACGTAAATAATCTTGAGGGCTCAAGATCACCATGTTTCTATGAAAGTATTATTATTATTGTCAATCATATCTAATATACCGCAAGCCTTTTGTAAGTGTCTATGCATGCATCTCAATGTACGAGTATTACCATTTTTATTTTTTCTATCTAGATTTTACTTTACAATCTAAGCTTGTCCAGATAATTATCAAATGCCTCTATGTAAAGAGAATGAATGGATGTATTTTCTTCAGATTATATAATTTGGGGTGAGATATGCACTAGAATTAGTATTAATGTATAAGAAATAATTTATGACATTTATGATTCTAACACTCAATATAATGAGAGGAGTGGCATTTAGGAAGGTTAGTGCATATGGGGGTGCAAAAACCCATCACATTATTTTCTAATCTAGGTATTCTATAAAAAATAGAGGAGGAAGAGAGTATGTATTGCACCATGGTAGCCATCCAGTTCATTCATTCTTCAAATATGCCCTTGAAAAGAATGACACTTGGAATGTGGTTGACGTGTGCAGCTCACACCATTTCTCATTTCTCATGTTGCTGTTCCTATAGTGTCTTCCTGGTACATAGCGAAGAAGCAGGTCACCAGCAATAATTTAAATGAATATGTCCTTTTTTTATTGGACAAAGATGTCACAATGATCAGAGAAGCCGACACATCTTTCTGCCTTGAGGAAGTGAACCTGCGCGGCCCCAAAACGTCGGCTTCTCTGATCATTGTGACATCTTTGTCCAATAAAAAAAGGACATATTCATTTAAATTATTGAGTGCTGGTGACCTGCTTCTTCGCTCTGTATTTGCATGGCGCCATCCGTGGTTGTTACTACAAGCACCATCGCTCTTGTTGGCCGGGACTGCTGTAAGGTGTGCGGAGGGCTCTCTCATAGTCTTCCTGGTACATGTTATACATTGTTTAGAAGACAATGTGTGTCTTAGCTGGTGTTTCAGGTGTTAGGAGAAACACTGGTACACAAAGGATGTCAAGTACAGGGACAACTGCCTGTGAGAAGAACTATAGCTTCTGTTCATACAATTCACCATTCTGACAAGTGTTATGCATCCCCTTTACCTTGTTAAGGGAATTGTTAGATGGAGATTCTCTTTATTACATGATATTCACAAAACGTCTACTGCTACTACTCTGCTCAACACTACCTCAGCTTTATGTGGTCCTTTAATGCCCAACTACAGGCACAATGTTTTTACATATTTTAATATTTTACATCTAAATTATAGGTTATTTTTTCCTTGATTAACTGTTTCTAAACTCCACTCAGCTGTACTTCCATCTCCCTGCCATATCGGAACAGTGTCCATTACAGACACCAGTTATGGTGTGCCTCTGCCCCCTCTTTCTGCTATTCCATACACAAAGCACAGTTGCAGTGCCATCATGTTTTATTGACAGAGGTATGGTTGTCTGCACAAGGTAGTGCAGGTGAAGAGAGGAGAGATCATTTGTATGAGCCCCTGGTTACTGGAGCGAGCATGATGAGAGTGGGAGCTGTGCTGGAAATAGGAGAGTAGCACTAAGAGCTACAGTACAGAGGGAGCTGTGCTGGAAACAGGAGAGTAGCACTAAGAGCTACAGTACAGAGGGAGCTGTGCTGGAAACAGGAGAGTAAAGGTGCCCATTCACCTTACGATTATCGGACAAAACCTTTCGTCCGATGATCGAATAGTCGTACGATTTTCGTACGGCAGCCCCATCCTGCCCCGATGATCGCAAGAATCATTTAGCCGTAATTAACCAAAAGCACCTGGACGAAATGCGGTAATTGATTTGCCGTATTTTCGTTAGCGCAAGCGCAGTGTAGATCGTACGACTTTTGACGGACGGAAACGCCAGCAACCTTACGACAATCGTACGATCTAGCAAAGTTTTCAAACATGCTTGACCGTCAAAAGTCGTACGATTGTACAGTATTGTCGGTCGGACACTGCAATGCACACATACGAATATCGGACGAAAAGTCGATCGCATACGATTATCGTCCGATAATCGTAAGGTGTATGGGCACCTTTACACTAAGAGCTACAGTACATTCAATCTGCTCTATTGCCCCTGGTTCCTAGATTATACATAAGTGCACTTAGACTGACTGCAAAGTCAGGTCTAATAGTTTCTACCCTGCTGAAGTATATGAACCCCAGAAACGCATTGGCTTTCTCATCTTTTTATTATTTATAGAAATAAAGAACTATACTAGACTCTATTACCACCGACGTGGTGCCCTTACTGCTAGCTTTTGGATTTCCCTTATCACTTTACTCTTTGCTTGAGGCGCTTTGTTGTGTGGGAGCAGCCTCACTGAAGCAATTCAGTTTGATTAACCAGACAATCATTCACAATACTTGATGATAATAGGAGACCTTAGTGTCACTTGCGTTTCATCACAGGCACTGTTTTGATGTGGCAGGGAGCCAGGAGTATGGCTTTTTCTGTACTTTCCAGCAGCAGCTTAGTGAAGCTTAGAAACAGCTAATCAAGTAAATATAATCACTAATGGATATAATGTAAGTCTTCACAAAATATAAGGTTTACAACAATGTAAAAATACTGTGCATCGGGTTGGGCTTTACGAGTTATTCCAGTTAATGATATGCAGGGAACATTTAAAGCAGTTCTGAAGTCAGAAAGTCATTGTATATAAAACCAAAATCTATGTGATCCACTGTAGCCAGATTTCACGGAGCTCTTAACAAGTGGGCAGGGGTTATTTTTGAAATTTTAACCACGATTTCTTGGTATAGTATTTGTTTCAGAATCCTTCAACAAATTAGGCAAACATCTATTATAATAGATTCATTTTAGGGATAACAAAAAAGCAATCCCATTTCCAGAAATATAGCTTACAGCCTACTGGCTCTGAGTACATCCTGTGCTCCTAGGAGATAGGTTGCACATTCAGCTCAGGCCTCCTGCCTTGGAAAAGTATCTTCTAGTGGCCAGCATTTTTAATTGTAGGCTGGCATACTGTTTTTTTTTATGGTGCTGTTGTACTTGAAGCCTGTACGTTCCTTTTGTCTCTCTCAGCATGATGCGTCACTCATCAAGTCTGAGACCACTAAACTACAGACTAACAGCATGGCTTATGGAAAATAAACAAGAAAACATGTACGGCATTAGGAAAATTGAGATATTTTTTCTGGGTTTAGACCTGTTTGTTCTGGACATTTTGGGTGCAGCCACAGAAGTTCTAACCTTTGTTACAATGCTCCTGTCATTGACAAGTACAAAGCCACCCAAATTTTGTTTCCAGGTGGGATGCGGTCTCTAAAAAAGAGCTAACTATTAACAGAAATGTATCTTATTTGTGTATCACTTAGCTGTAGGCCCTCAAATCATCTCTCAATTCATGCTGACACTGTCCTTCCTTCTGGAGGGTGGATCCTTTTGTCCCCCATGGTCCCTGTGTGTGTTGTAAAGTAGTCACCACTCCAAGCTCACTCCTGTGATAGACTACAATCTCAATACAAATTAATAAACTAAACATGAGATTGTAGTTTATCACGGGAGTGAGCTTGGAGCAGTGACTACTTTACAACACACACAGGGACCATGGGGAACAAAAGTAGCCACCCTCGAGAAGGAAGGATAGTGTCAGCACCAATTCAGAGATGATTTGAGGATCCAAAGCTGAGCGATAGACAAATAAGATACATTTTTGTTAAAAGGGACTTTAATAGATTTTTAAATTTAGCTCCTGAGTTTAGCGTCACTTTAACTATGTATAGATTTCTATAGACACCATAAAGTACTTTATAGATCATAATGAGAGCAATTATGAGTCTCGAACCCACAGGTAAAATGCACAGTTAGATAATTGGGTTAAAAAATTGGCGAGTTCAACCTAAAAAAATATATAAATATATATATTAAAGCTCTGCCATGACATCCGTCTAACTAGGAGAGATGACATCCCTGTATTCTCCACACAGCTGACATAACGGTCCTCCGCACAGCGTAATTTTAGAGCGCCATGGCTTTTTAATTAAAAAACACAGCCCTCAAATCGCTTGTCTGGCCTCACCCCGAAGGTCATAAATAAAGGAAGAGCCTGACAGCTTCACGTTGGAGGCAGTGCTGCTCATTCCGTGTCCATTTCTTGTTCAGACATGATGTGCAGGCTGTGATTAACGGCACAGTCTGAGAAGCCACTGGCCACCATTTATCATGGTTGCCATGGTTTCAGCAGAGGCAGAGGCCAAACAACCTATTGAGGAACACATTAATTACTTGTAAAGCTGCTCTGTGTCGCTGAATTTTGCCCGCGTGGTTATAAAATAACTCTTCTGGCAATATTGTGTAGCTAACGCTGTGTATAATTTTAACCCTTTTTTTTTTTAAAGCGCTGCTACAAACCGTTGACTTGCACAGGCGGCAATGAGGTTTCACCTGCTAGATGTATAAATGGGAATCAATGTGTTTAGCAGTCTAACTGCAAGGATGAAGCGCACTGCGAATATTTTCATGTACAGATGTGTACAGTGTGCAGACATGCAGCAATCATCTCAGTGATAAGTGGCATTATATTAATATCCCACTATAAAAATATCCCGCTAGATAGGAATA